GCAATAGGTCTTCAAAACTTCTTGTAATAATCTGCCTATTTGAATTGCATGACAAGGCAGAATGTTCCAGAACATCGGTAGTGCAGATGCGTCAACTTCAAGCTTGATTACAACCTTGATGCAGCGAGTATCTCTCCAAACTCAAAACATGAAATTGTAGATCTCTTTCTTAGCGTTCCATAGAATTTTGAATCATCTCAATCGGAGCTCGGATGAGAGAGTTATGCCCAGATTACCAAACAATGTCGAAACTGTCCGAATTCACTTAATTAGTTCCGTTTTGCAATTAATGCCTCCATTTGCTTCCTAAATCAAAATAGAATAATAATGAGTATATTTAGGCCGCAAATAAGTATAAAAGACTAGACATTCAGGGGGGTAAATATGACATTTTGCATTCTCATCAACAATCCTATTCATTGCCGATATAATGAGAAGCCTCAGGTCGCACACATAGAAGACAGATTAAGAATAAAATTCATGAGAGGGGTATTTTCATCATTTATGATGAAAGGACATTTTCGTCTTTTAAGATGAAAGGGCATTTTGGTAATCTTACAGTGTAATTAAATTTACTGAGGTTGTTCCCTACATTTAATTTCATATGGAAATTAAATTAGTGAGATTATATATATATATTTAAATATTTAGTTTAAGTATATATATATATATATTTATTAATTATATATATTTATATATAATGGATATTATCCGATATTAATATTTATTATTAATATTGATAATGTGAACTCAAATTTGGTTTTCAAATTTGAATTGAAATACCATGTTTGGTTGCAAAGGTAATCCATTCCAATATTCCAATTGGAATAGATAGCTATTCCAATTTACAATAAGGTTTTAGTGTCCACTATTTAAGTGCAACTAAAATTAATTCATTTAAATGAATAAAATAATATTTGAGAAAAAAAAGCACCAAATTAATAACCTTCCTAACCTAACTACTGAATTGTATATAGGGTAAGCAAGGGTCGATCCCACAGGGAATGCTTAGATTAAATTCTATATTCTAAAACAATGAAAACAACAAAAAAATTAAATAAAACCCTAAACAATAAACATGACAACAGTAATGAAAGGGGGTTGTAGTCAAGGCAAACTAAATAAAACAAAGAAATCTCTAATGGTAGAAAATATCAGGTTAAAAGCAATCAGTTCTCAGTTCAAGATCCACCTAAGCATGCATTGGACATGAACTAACCCTAAAACTCCTCAATAAATAACATTTTTTCTTCTTAATTCTACCCCAAGAATCATGGAAAATCTTTCCTAGACGTTTCCTAAAAGATAGACTTCCAGATTTGTCAAAATCTTATCAGATATGGAAAACAGATTTCATCTCCAGCTTGCACCAGGATTCTCGCAACGTAAAAATCTTTTCTGGGCTAGGTCACTTCATAAAATTGTATTCCCGGATGTGTAGATGAATCTGGGCTTTTGAATCAGCCGCTTTCGATATCTGACGCTCCAGTTAGGCCCATTCGAAGATTCAATACTCAGCCAGGAAATCCTTCCGCGACTAGGATTCCAGGTCCGGATTTGTAACAACTAATGAGGACCCAAACGAACTCGGATTCTCGTCCATAATACCTTCCTAGAAAGCTTGATTTGTCAACTTTACTTTTTATGAAGAACACTTTTGCAATAAAGAAATCTGACTCTATGAAAAACCTGAAAAACGCATCACTGGTTAGAATAACAAAAATCTGGAATTTCCTAATCTTTTCTCAATTATTTCCTAAAGTCTATCCAAATATGCCAAACTTACAAAATAAACTCTAATGAACTCAATTGGGCATAAAACATAACAAAAAACATAATACAGAAGGAATAAAAAATATATAAATTCCACTCTATCAAATTACCCCACACTTAGCTTTTGCGCGTCCTCGGGCAAACTAATTCAAACACTAAAACAACCTACACTCAAGTCATATCAAGAACACCATCATGATGCATAAGCAAAAATATTTAATCCATGCATATTCATACCTAACTTAGGAAGAAACAAAATAAAATAAAATAAAGTTAATGACATTCATCTCTCTTCATCATTTTCCACAATTACTCTCAATCAGTCAATGCAAGCAAGGAAACTAATCACAACCAATTCATGTACAACTCCCCTCTCAACTTTTTTCTCAATTGTTTCTCTTTACTACTACAAACTAGGTAGCAAACTATAAATTTTTGTTTTTCTTCTCTTTTTTTTTTTTTTTTTCCTGTTTTGAAAAAAATGAGTGCATTTTATGCTCCATCTCATTTCATGGTTGTGTTTATGAGTGAGTGCGTTTTACGCTCCATTTTGACTCAACCACTACCTTTCTTTTTTTCTATTTGCTTAAACCCAAATTTAGGACTAGCTTAAGAGAAACAATTGTTTTTTTTTTTTTTTTTTTTTTTTTTTTTTTTTCTTTTAAGGGTTGTTATACACTCCTCAACATGCTTCATCACAAGTTCACACAACTTATCAGACTATTGTTTCAAAACTACAAAGATTCAAATATGATTAACTCTCTTTTATGAAATATTGCTAACATCCTAAATCAGGAATATGCTCAATAATAAAGTCAGTTACTATTTCATGCATCACTAGACGTTCAAAGACATGACTTAAAGCATAACCTTCCTAAAACACAACAACTTTTTTTTTTTAATAAACATACACCTACCACCTAACTTCTCCCCCCACACTTAAAACTTATTTGTCCCCAATGTAACCCCAAATGTAGAGACAGTAAATAAAACAAATAAAACAACAAATAAAAAAATGACAAATAAAAAAAATGGCAAATAAAATAAAAAAAACTAAATTCAAAGGAAAAGAAAATCAAATCTGAATTCTTGGGTTGCCTCCCAAGTAGCGCCTTTGGTTAATGTCATTAGCCCGACTCTGTGCATCGTCTTCACTACTCATGTATCGACTCCTCTAATCCCACCTCCTCAATATTGCAAACGTGGAACCCTTCATAGTAGGGTTTAAGCCTATGTCCATTGACCTTAAACACCTTGTTTGTTTGCAAACTTTGGATTTCCATTGCACCATGATGAAAAACATTAGTCACAATAAAAGGTCCCACCCAACGAGAACGTAACTTACCCGAAAATAACTTCAGCCTTGAATGAAAAAGAAGGACTTTCTGTCCAACTGAAAAATGCTTCCTTGAGATCATCTTGTCATGAAAGGCTTTAGTCTTTGCCTTGTAGATGTGTGAACTCTCGTAGGCATCATTCCTCAACTCCTCAATTTCTTGCAATTGCAACTTCCTATTAATGCTAGCTTCCTTCATCTCCATATTGCAATGCTTGATTGCCCAATAAGCGTTGTGCTCTAATTCTACTGGAAGATGACACGGCTTACTGAACACTAATCTGTATGGGGACATGCTAATAAGTGTCTTATATGCTGTTCTGTATGCCCATAATGCATCGTCTAATCTCAAAGACCAATCCTTCCTGTTTGGGTTCACTATCTTTTCCATAATTGACTTGATCTCTCTATTTGACACCTCGGCTTGGCCATTGGTTTGTGGGTGGTACGATGTGGAGACCTTGTGTGTGACATGGTATTTTTTAAGCAATGCCTCCATTGTCCTATTGCAAAAATGACTACCCTTATCATTGATTATGGCCCTTGGTATCCCAAACTTGACAAAAATGTTAGTTTTAACAAAATCTGCAACAACCTTTGAAGTGTTAGTTCTGGTGGCTTTCGCCTCCACCCATTTGGAAACATAATCAATAGCTAACAGAATATAAACGTTACCAAAGGAAACAGGAAATGGACCCATAAAATCAATGCCCCAAACATCAAAAATTTCAATAATAAATATAGGAGATTGTGGCATTTGATCTCTACGAGAAATGTTTCCTATTCTTTGGCAATTATGACATGACTTACAGAACATGTAGGCATCTTTGAACAATGATGGCCAATAAAAATCGCATTCTAATACCTTAGGAGCTATCCTCTGTGGTCCAAAATGTCCTCCACATGCATAGGTATGATAGAAGGTTAAAATAGGAATAAATTCATGTTCAGATACGCACCTTCTTATCACTTGGTCAACACAATACTTCCATAGATATGGATCGTCCCAAGCATAATACTTAGCATCACTCTTGATCTTGTCTTTTTGAGCTCTAGTCAAATCATTTGGCAACACGTTAGTAACTAAAAAATTGACAATATCTGCATACCATGGTGATGCCATTTCAATGGAAAACAATTGCTCATCCGGAAATGTTTCTCGCAAAGGAAGCTCATCACTGTCTCGAACCAAATGGCTAAGGTAATCTGCTACAACATTCTCTGCTCCCTTGTTATTTTTAATCTGCAAATCAAATTCCTAGAGTAGAAGAATCCATCTAATTAGCCTTGGTTTTGCCTCCTTCTTTATGAGCAAGTACCTAAGAGCTGCATGATCAGAAAAGACAATAACTTTAGCACCCAACAAATATGACCGAAATTTTCTAAAGCAAAAACAACTGATAAAAGTTCTTTTTCAGTCGTAGAATAATTGAGCTGTGTGCCATTCAAGGTTCTGGATGCATAATAAATAACGTGACACGCTCTGCCAACTCTTTGACCTAAGACAACACCTAATGCGTAGTTGCTCGCATCACACATAATTTCGAAAGGTAGATCCCAATTAGGTGGTTTTATCACTGGTGTTGTCGTCAACAATGTCTTCAACTTGTCAAATGCCTCCTTGCACTTCTCATCAAACTGAAAATCCACATCTTTTTGTAACAATCTGCATAAGGGCAATGCGATTTTTGAAAAGTCCTTGATAAATCTCCGATAGAAACCTGCATGGCCAAGAAAAGATTGAACTTCTCGCACGCTGGCGGGGTAAGGTAAAGCTGTAACCAAATCTATCTTAGACTTATCAACCTCTATTCCCTTGGATGAAACAATATGCCCCAAAACTATACATTGCTTTACCATAAAATGACATTTTTCCCAGTTAAGTACAAGCTTAGTTTCCATGCATCTGTCTAGAATTAGTGTAAGGTTATGCAAGCATTGATCAAATGAATCACCAAAAACACTAAAATCATCCATAAACACCTCTATAATTGACTCAACATATTCTGAAAAAATACTTACCATACATCGCTGGAATGTGGCTGGAGCATTGCAGAGACCAAACAGCAATCGGTGATAGGTGAAGGTACCAAATGGACATGTGAATGTCGTCTTCTCTTCATCCTCAAGTGCTATGACAATCTGGTTATACCCTGAAAATCCATCAAGAAAACAGTAATAAACATGACCAGCTAACCTCTCAAGCATTTGATCAATAAAGGGAAGTGGAAAATGATCTTTTCGAGTTGTTGAGTTCAACTTCCTGTAATCAATGCACACACGCCAGCCTGTCTAAACACGTGTAGGAACCAACTCATTGTCTTGATTTTTCACCACTGTAACACTAGATTTCTTGGGGATAACTTGCACTGGACTTACCCACTTACTGTCAGAAATCAGATAAATTACCCCAACATCTAAAAGCTTTAGGACTTCTTTTTTCACCACATCCATCATTGGGGTATTTTATTTGTGTTACGCTTCCCGTGTCGGTTTGGCACCTTCTTCAAGCAAAATCTTATGCATGCATATGGAAGGACTAATCCCCTTAATGTCAACTATGGTCCAGCCAATCGCTTCCTTATGTTCCCGTAGCATTCGAACTAGTTTCTCTTCTTGATTGGGTGTTAACTTATTCGACATAATTACCGGGCAGTGTCTCATTTTCTCCCAAGTACACATACTTCAAATGGCCCAGTAATGGCTTCAACTCCAGTGTAGGGGCCTGCAAAACAGAAGGCAATAATTTCTGGTGAGAATCAGACAGCTTTATAAAAGAAACTCCATACCTTTCTGGACTCGGTTTCAAAGAACGTAAAGCTGCCACTGTCTCCTTCAATTCTTCACTGAGCTCTATCTTTCCTTTCTCCTCTGATTCCACATGTTTGAGAAGGGCAACCTCTAACTCATCTGCATTATTTAACTCAAAAATCTCTTGTACTATGGAATCAATAGGATCAACAACATCAATAGCAAAAATAGACTGAACATCAGTTGGATATTTCATGGCATCAAAAATATTAAAACGAATTACTTCACCATCAAATTCTATCGTGAGGGTACCATCATGAACATCTATTTTTGTCCGAGCTATATTTAGGAATGGTCTTCCCAGCAAGATAGGTGCAGGGTCAGGAGAAGAAGAATCATCCATATCCAGAATGTAGAAATCAGCAGGAAACACTAACTCATTGACCTGCACAAGAACATCTTCAACTACCCCTTCAGGGTATGCATTAGTGCGATCAGCCAATTGAATAATAACACCGGTATCTTTCACAGGACCTAGATTTAATGAAGCATAAATAGATCTTGGCATAACATTAATCAAAGCTCCTAAATCTAACATAGCTCTCTCAATTTTGGTGTTACCTATCTTACAAGGAATTGTAAACATCCCTGGATCCTTGCACTTGGGAGGAAGTTTTCTTTGGAAAACTACTGACACATTTTCTCCCATTATTATCTTCTCATCACCGTTCAACTTCCGCTTATTGGTGCACAACTCCTTAAGAAATTTTGCATACCTTGGCACTTGCTTAATTGCATCCAACAGAGGTATATTCACTTCCACCTTGCGAAACATCTCCAAAATCTCTTTATCCTTCTCTTCTTTCTTTGACTTCGTGAATCTACTAGGAAAAGGTAAAGTATTAGATGGAAGTTGAATTGAAGGGTTAGGAATTACCTTTGATTCAGTTGTACCCTCTTCTCTCCCAAATTCATCTTCAATTTTTGCTTCCTTTGCTACACTTGGAATGTTCAGCTTCGGTTCTTCCACTTTCTTGCCACTTCTTAGCGTTGCTGCATTCACATTTTCCTTTGGGTTCACCACTGTTTGAGAAGGCAACTTCCCTCCAACTTGAGCCTCTAAACGACTTATAGCAGTTGCCATTTGACCCATCTGATTCTCCAAACTTAGCATGCCGGATGCACCAAATTAATAACCTTCCTAACCTAACTACTGAATTGTATATAGGGTAAGCAAGGGTCGATCCCACAGGGAATGCTTCGATTAAATTCAATATTCTAAAACAATGGAAACAACAGAAAAATAAAATAAAACCCTAAATAGTAAACATGACAACAGTAATTAAAGGGGGTTGTAGTCAAGGCAAACTAAATAAAACAAAGAAATCTCTAATGGTAGAAAATATCAGGTTAAAAGCAATTAGTACTCGGTTCAAGATCCACCTAAGCATGCATTGGACATGAACTAACCGTAACACTCCTCAATAAATAACATGTTTTCTTCTTAATTCTACCCTAGGAATCACGAAAAATCTTTCCTAGACGTTTCCTAAAAGATAGACTTCCGGATTTGTCAAAATCTTATAAGATATGGAAAACAGATTTCGTCTCCAGCTTGCACCAGGATTCTCGCAATGTAAAAATCTTTTCTGGGCTCGGTCACTTCATAAAATTGTATTCCCGGATGTGTAGATGAATCTGGGCTTTTGAATCAGCCGCTTTCGATATCTGACGCTCCAGTTAGGCCCGTTCGAAGATTCAATACTCAGCTAGGAAATCCTTCCGCGACTAGGATTCCAGGTCCGGTTTTGCAACAACTAATGAGGACCCAAACGAACTCGGATTCTCGCCCATAATACCTTCCGGAAAAGCTTGATTTGTCAACTTTACTTTTTCTGAAGAACACTTTTGCAATAAAGAAATCTGACTCTATGAAAAGCCTGAAAAACGCATCACTGGTCAGAATAACAAAAATCTGGAATTTCCTAATCTTTTCTCAATTATTTCCTAAAGTCTATCCAAATATGCCAAACTTACAAAATAAACACTAATCAACTCAATTAGGCATAAAACATAACAAAAAACATAATATAGAAGGAATAAAAAGTATATAAATTCCACTCTATCACCTCCTCTTTCTCTCTCTCTCAAAACCATGAGCCTCCATTGGTGAGAGAAAAATTCTGTAGATTTTTATTCCCTTAGTTGAGTGAATTACCTAGCCTAATAATTCCTCAACGACATTTGTCCCATCTTCCTGTGGATACCAGGAGTTCATTCCTAACTTGGAGTGGGAGTGAATCACATCAATCGGAGGAGCCTCCAAAAGTTGGCATGACATTAAACTTGGTTTAAGTATTTTCTTGTATCAAATTGATGTAGATCCGCAATTGGATAAATGTTTTTATGGTTTTTGTGATCGAAAAGGTTTTATTTTTCTGCTGCTTAAACAATCCAAAAACTAGCAATGGTATTAGAGCCACTTTTACCTATTTACATCATTTGATACTTATTTGGATGCTTTGGATTTGTGTCAACCAATTCTGGTATTACCAGTTTTATAAAATCAGTAAAATTGGTTTAAAAATTCTTCTTCAGTTGATCTGTTGTGTTAATATAATATTTCATCTGATTTGATTTTGTGTGTTCGATCAAAGTCAAATAAAACTTGATCTTGATCTAAAGAGTGGATTGCCGTGGAGGGCAAAACCTACTGATGTGTGTTGTTGCGCACAACAGTAGCGATGAGCAGCAACGGGAACGAGTAAATACGCACTGCTGCTGATTAAAATGCGCGGCAGTGCACAGTAGCTCCACTGCTTGCATGATGCCGTGCTCGGAAGGTGCTGGCCACATGCTCCAGCATGTGGCCTTGGGCTGTGTCGCCACAAATGGCACAACAGCAGCCTTGTCCAATGGCACAAAGGCTACTACTACACCAGCAGCAGTGCATGCAAATGTGATAAGAGTGTAATTTATATATTTTTTTTTATTCCTTCCATATTATGTTTTTTGTTATGTTTTATGCCTAGTTGAGTTGATTAGAGTTTATTTTGTAAGTTTGGCATATTTGGATAGACTTTATGAAATAATTGAGACAAGATTAGGAAATTCCAGATTTTTTGTTATTCTAACTAGTGCTGCGTTTTTCAGGTTTTTCATGGAGTCAGATTTCTCAATGCAAAAGTGTTCCTCTTAAAAAGTAAAGTAGATGAATCAAGCCTTCCAGGAAGGTATTATGGGCGAGAATCAGAGTTCGTTTGGGCCCTCATTAGTTGTTGCAAAACCGGACCTGGAATCCTATTCGTGGAAGGATTTCCTGGCTGAGTATTGAGTCTTCGAATGGGCCTAACTGGAGCTTCAGATATCGAAAGCAGGTGATTCAAAAGCCCAAATTCATCTACAAATCCAGGACTACAATTTTATGAGTGACCAAGCCCAAAAAAGTTCTTTTACATTGTGAGAATCCTGGTGCAAGCTGAATTACGAATTCTGTTTTCCATATCTGATAAGGAATTGACGGTTTTGGAAGTCTATCGTTTAGGAAAGGTCTAGGAAAGTAATTTTCGTTTTTCCTGGGGCAGAATTGAGGAAAAACATGTTATTTATTTAAGAGTTGTTAGGTTAAACGGGGGAGAGGAGAACGGCAATGGATGGTTTTTTTTAGTTTTTTACTTTCTACGTCAATATGTGCAGCTGATCTTTCTTCTTCAGTTCAAGGGGATTTTGAAGCCTGAATTCATGTCATTGGTGTAACTTAACTTTAGTAACATTGTTCTTAATCTCGTTCTTATTGGAATTGTTTATGTTATTCTGTTTTAATTGTTTATGATTTTTGTTTGGGTGATTTAGTAATGGCCTGCTAAATTGTTTAATCAGAATTTTATCTGTTAGAATTAGGAATTGTGATACGTAATTGTCCTCTTTCTATTGAATGAGTAACACATGATGATAGATGATTGCGGACAAGTTTTCAGTCTGTCACCTTGAATAACATAACCTAAGTTTAATAATCCGATCTTGCGTGATTGTTGCTTGGATTGATCTATTTTCCTAATTCTTAAGGCTGCCATTGGATTAAACTTAGAGAGTTTATTCTAGGTTGTTCAAGGGTTAGGATCTAATTGAAGAGCTTATTTCAGTAGTGACAATTAAGGGAAAATTCGGGTAACAGAGCTTGTTGTTTCCTAGGGTCAATAATTCCATAATAACGAGATTGAATAATGTTACGGTTAGTTCATGTCCATGCATGTTTAGGTGGATCTTGAACCGAGAACTGGTTGTTTTTAATATGATATTTTCTACCATTGGAGAATTATTCGTTTCACTTTAGATTGCATTGTCTATAACCCTTTTCATTATTCTGTTGTCATGTTTACTATTTATGATTTTATTTTATTTTATTTTTTTGTTGCTTTCGTTGTGGTTATTGGTTAGAATATAGGATTTAATCGAATCATTCCCTGTGGGATCAACCCTTGCTCACCCTATATGCAATTTAGTAGTTAGGTTAGTAAGGTTATTAATTTGGAGCATTCGGCACGCTACCAAAATGCGTTGGCTGCTCGCCCCCCCCCCCCCCCCCCCCCCCCCCCCCGCCCGTTTGCTACTGTTTTGGGGCTACTGGCACTTGGTTTTTCAGCCAAGGGCCTAATCTAGTGCACATTAAAACATGCACCGAATCTGAATTTTTGGGCAGCCCATGTAAAGATGCAATGGGTTGAATTTGGGCCATGATCGCATTGTTGTGCGATATTTTTTAATCCATAATTTTCTAAAAACTGTTGCTGCATGTTAGAAACATTTTGGGGGCCCAATAACAAAGGACTAAAATAAACATTTTAAAACTTCCCAGACTTAAACAACACTGCTAAAAATCAAGAGGTAACTTGTAATTTACCAACCTAGTCAAAATTTAATTTTGATTGATTGATGCATGATTCTTGTATGTGAATATGCATGGTGTATGGTGCATAAGCCTTTGGACCTAGTTTAATTTTTCGTTTATGTAATTTTAAAATAGGGCCTACGTGCCCTACATTTATCTATTACCTCTAATGTATTTATTTCTCTCATCTCACTCCTTCTAATGTAACTCAAGGTTTCTTTTCAAATATGTAAAATTAGAAATGTAATTTTAATTTGAAAGATTTATAATGTTCAAGAAGAAGAAGCTAAGCAAGGAGAATGCAAATTACTTGAAGAATCCTAAGTTATAATTAAACCTAGGTTGACCTACCAATTCCTCTAGGCTTGGGGAATCGGTTTTAGTTAAGGCCATGCACCAACACATTTATTTTAAGCTTAGTATGCATGCTAAGGATGTATGTTATGACTATAACATGCTAGACAAGATAAAACTGGTGAGACACACAAAATAAAAACCCTCGATAAAGCATATTAAGTCCAATCAATAAAGGCTTCCATCACCATTGGTTTAATCAAACCACTATTCGTTAGAACCTTGTTCACCAAAGCGAAGGGTACACTTCTACAAATAGGAGGTTAAATTCATTGGAGTTTTTCTTAATGGTGATAGGTCAACTTAAATTGTGTGTTTTGCTGGTTCGCCAAAATGAAGGTTGATAAACACATCATAGGCATAGTAGAGAAGTACACTTGTTATGCGTACGTGGTGACATGTAGTTTCCACTGTACTGATACTGAGAATAACACTTGAGGATAATGGCTTCAGCCATTGAATTGTGTGATTGGTTTGTTGGCTTATTTTGCATTTGAGGTTGGTAGTTGTAGCTATCAACTAGTATGAATTAAGTTTGTTGGCCTACCTGATCAACCCATTTTGGTTTGTTCGCCAAAGCGAAGGTTTGAAATGGGCTAGATGAGGTCTTAGTCCACTAGGAGAGCCGACGGGCTTTCCCGGGTTAATAGTGAGGGATATTGGCTTGAGGACAATAGTGGGAGCAATTATTTAATAAAAGACCTTGTTAAATAATAATAATAATAAACATGATAATAACTTTTGTTTTTCAGCATTTGTAGATTCATTAAAATGAGCAATATGAACCTATCATCACTACGACAAATCATTGAACTGGGAAAAAAATGGAATGGGGAGAATTTCATTGACTGGTATAGAAGTATAAACAATTTACTTAAGTTAAGCGATAAGATTATACACCATTGGGTATGCTTTGTCAGCAATGCCTACTG